ATGACAGACATAGCCCCACACTAAAGCAAACTTGTGCTGTAGCCAGCCCCTCCGCAGCACATTGAGCCAGACTACAGCAGCCTTGGCCTGGCAGGCTGACCCCCCCAGAGGTCAATGCCAGCCAAGGCTGCCCAACCTCCAAAATTTCTTCCCTACTGCATATTTGTCAGTGTTGTGTTCCAGGTGATGGAACTTCCTACTACATCTCTTAAGCAATTACAGTCCAAGAACTCTGATTTTAAGCAAAGTATTTGTGTTAAAATTTCTTTTTTTAAAAAGTATGCCTTCAACTCCTGGTTAGAACTCCTTTCATCAACCAAAATAATTCCATTTCCCATTGGGTGTTTATCCACATAAAATATTCTTCATCTCTTAGCCAAGTCACACACTGAGTATTTCCAGCTTCTCATAGATCTTTCCCTTGTTCTTTCCTGAAATCCCTTTAGCGTGTCTTATATAAAACTTTTGTTAATATTTGAACAGAGGAGCTTAATGACCTCTTAGTTCCTCACTTTTATTTCTGTCCATTTATTACACACACCCAATGTATATGAGTTTACAGGCATATATAGTCCATGCTCAGCAACATACTTGAACCATGGTCCGTTTTAGACCTACAAGTAATATTGTGAACTCATTGTATTTGAAGTTAGGGATTTCACTTGATCAGCCATGCTATGTACAGACAGCCCACATCAGTTCAAAAACAGAATGTGTAAAGCAAAGTATCTGCTTGGAAACTGATCAGTGTCATTATAGCTGTATTAAGGGAAGCCCTATGCTTCCCCAGCACACTGTTTTGATTGCAGCAATTCTATAACCTCTGATTCTTCTAAGTTAAACAAAAGCCTCAAACTCATATGTCATGGACCAAAACATCCTTGCTTCATTTACTGGAGTACTGGCATAAGGCAAGCAGAATTTTAGCTTTCAGTGCTCGTTCCTTCAAAATCTCTTTCTGTAATAGCCCAGGAAAAGACTATGGTATGGTATGCACAGAACTCATGCAGATCAGGAGAGGGAACCTTTTATTTCAGTAAGCGTTTACTGAGATTAAGTTAAATACAATATATAACATTTGGTGCCACAGTTAAGTTTACAAAGTGGTTAATCTTATTATTGCCATCTACTGAGCCAATGTGGCAAATGAAATATAAAATGGAGTCTTAACTAAATTTAAATGGGTGTTTTGGGCACTCTGCCCAAAAATATTGCCGACCCCAAACTAACACAACTGAATGATGAAGGGGAAATCTGCTCTGTACTAGTGGCTCACAATCACATACAACTGCAGCAGGAGAAGCTCTGAGAAGAATGTTCAGACTTTGACAATAAAAGAAGAGTAAATGGTTTTCAACTATTTTATTTTCAAATGTAATCACTTTTCACATCATCAACTGTAATCAGTACCTTTACCAGTTCACACATTTGACAAGATTGAGGATCTACACTAGGTTTCTAATCTAGTTTATTCCCACCTATTTACTGCGCCCAACTCCATAGTATGCAAGTGGTTTCCAGGAACACAGTAGGTTATGTGACAAACATGTATCCTGCGTTTCTCTCCTCACCTTCTTCCCAGGGATGTGGTATGCACAGAGGAATATTTCATTCTGGATTTTATAACACATGCACACAATCAACTAATGTATGTCTATCCATAGTTCCTTAGGAGTAAAAATTCTCCACAGGGTAAAGGAAGATACTCTCTCACATAAAGACTATAATCTCCACTCTCCAGAAGGCTCATGGGAGACCAGTACAGTGTAAGTCTGCTGACAGCTAACAGTGAAGCAGGAAAGAAGGGAATCGCCTAAAACTTCTCTTGCTATGGAGTCCACACAAGACACAAACTGTCTTTCATACAGAAATTCCAAAGTTAAAGCAAATGGCAATTTATGCCTGCTGCTGAATCTGGGATGAATAATAAAACTCCACCTTCTTAAACGAGGAATAAGCCTAGTCTTTGTTTAGTTCTTATTTGATGCATGTAAGTATGGCCCATATCTAAATCTTCATAGAGTATTTTCTGCATAGGTATGAGTTTCACCCTGACCTCTTAGTTAATGATATGACAACAGCTATGTACTGCTTAAAAATCCCAAGTACTTTTGAGCTTTTAGTAAATAAGATATCTACAAAAAGAAAAAGTTAATTTAGGGGACTAAGGTACCTAACAATTTTGTCTCATGAATATTGTGATGAAAAGGTATTTTGTATGCAGTAAGCTGCATCAGTACACTGCCACATCACCCTTCAGTGCCACATCAGCACATGGCACTATCTAAAAAAAGTATTGTTTTGTAGAAAATGCCAAGCTATAAATCTACAGGCAGTATTTTGTAAGTATCTAACAACTGCAGCCAGCAGCTGGATAAAAAGAGAAGAGAAACATGTTGTGGCATTAATCCAAGAGAACCAGTGGTTTGCCAGCCATGCTAATTTACTTTACGTAAACTTAATGTAGTTGTTGTTGTACTTTTAAGAATTCATCAGCCTACAAAAATAAAATTGTGCAGATCTCAAATATCACAGATATGATAGAAGCTAACATATGCATACATTTTGTCATTCATTTAGATGGCAACTCACAAGTTTTAGAAATTTCAAAATTAACTTGGTCTAATATTTGGTTGTACTTACTACAGTCCTGTTAAAAAGAACACCAGAACAATCAGCTTCCTGATTGCTGCTACTTTAGCAACTAACATTAGCTCCACTATATGAGGAATTACTGGGAGGTATCCAGCAGTAGTCTGAGTTGTGCCAATGGAAAGTCAAGAGTTCAAGTATGTACATTTCTTTCATAGCTGTCAGTCTTCTAATTTGCCATGTACTACTTATCTTTAGGCTAAACCCTGTGACTGCTTCAAGCACAGTGTTTTGGAAGTACATTTTATATCAGTATATCTTTTGCAACATGGCATGTAAAGCCTGTATGCATTTAATCTACTGTAAGGCATGTATTTGCTAGGAACGCTGCTGAAAAGAACTGCCCTGTAATTAGGTACTTTCTCTGGATTGCAATTACAATATGGTGCGTTGTCTACTTCAGTGACACTTCACAGGCCAACAAGCACTTCTCAGAACAACAAAAATACCGCCTGTTCAAATAATTTACACTGTGTATTAATATATATCAATAAATATTCTGTGCATTTCTTGCTCATTTGGCAGGCTATGCAATTTGCATAGTCTCAGACTAACACTACGTGGTGGTAATTAGCTACAGGTTCAAGATTTGCAGTGTTTATCCAACATTGTGGGCCTGATTTTCAGATGTGTTTTCAGCCAGTGTATTCCCACTGAAATGTTTGCTGGGGAAGGAAGGAGTAATGAAACCAATTAACTCATGTCTTCCTGATGATAATAACATTTTCCTCATAGCTAAGACAAATCAATGCCATGTACAGCTAAGATAGCAGTTTGTGACAGTTATTTTGCTCCAGCTGTAGGTTCACCACTTCAGTTCCACAACTGTATGCCAGCAAACCTCCACTGAACTCAACGGTACTGCACTGGAGAAACATCACCACAGAATAGTTCTGATGCACTGCCATATCACTCAAGACAAATCAGCATTGTCTATATGGATGTAAAAGGTTATTTTATGGCCTGAAACGCTTGACACTATATATAGTATAAAGCCTCATCCTCTCTTCCCCAGAGATAACTCAACACTTTTCCCCTCTAGGTCCCTGGTGATCCAGTCTTTTTCAATGTAAAGGAGGATATAGTGTCAGCCACTAACTGTACATCTCGTTTGAGATGAACCACTCCTCACCCCTCCATTGGGGTTAATCACTTAGAAGTCTTTTAATCCATTTATTTCCAACCCTCCTCCCTGCCATGACTATTAAGTATACAAAACAGATGTGCTTCCAATGCTTCACTCTCAGGTTATAGCTTTATAGAAGCTGTCAGTTGTTAGTGAAAGCCCTAACTCAGCAGAGCATCTCTGTTCAGAAAAATATTTCTAGCACATGCTTAGCTTTAAGATTATGACTATGTCCCAATTAACTGAATGTACTGAAATGCCTTCCTGAATCAGGGGCCAAGGCAAAGGAAAGTTACTGGGCTTTTTTAGCAATAAAAATTCATCCCAAATTCCTCTTTCCTAATATAATGGTTGCTCTCCTCTAGGCACAATAGGGAAGAGAGTCTTCTCCTTCCTACAGAGTAAAAATGTGACAACAAGGGGATCATTTCCAGATATTTCTAATTCCTGATTAGTCTGGTAGAATTAAGGAGGAAATTCCTCTCATAAATGCAAAAAATTAAGTTTAAGCTAAAGTGATCTAAAAAGCCTAGGGCATGTTTGATTTTGGGAGGTGAAGGGAAGAATCAGTTCTCAAGGCTGTAGAAACAATCTGCAGCCATGGCCAGTGACACTTAGAATAAGGCTAGAGCTGCAGTTATTCCTGATGCTGTTAAGAGACTGCTGCAGTTGCTAAATTAGTGCCTCATTTTATCACTACACATTGAGCAGTGGTACACATTTTGACATACAATTTCAATAATAGCTTGTAAGTGTCAGAAATAATGTAATACATTTAATAATGAGCACAAAGATTATCTAGAAGAGAGCATATTATGCCCTGTTAAAACATAGCTAATCTATGTAAAACTTATGACAAGCCAGACCTTTTCAGTGTTTAATAAACTGGTTAAATCTTCATTTTTAGGGCATCATCCAAATCAGTTTGGTCACAGATAACTATTTAAAGCCCATTCCAACATTGGCAAATATACCAGGAAAATAACCCAGGGAGGGAAAAAAAAAAAAAAAAAAAAAAAA